TACTCTTTGGTTGTGGGTTGGTGTCAAACGAAAATACAGAAACATTTGTGAAACCCGAGTTAAGAAGCAAAAGTTTTTTGTGACATTTGAAAGACAGAAATGTGACATTGTTTGCAGTTGCCACTTATTCGAGTTTCGAGGTATAATTTGCAGGCATGCAATATCCGTGCTTCTCCGCAATAACGTTACAGCATTACCGGACCAATATGTATTACGGAGATGGAGACGAGATGTTCGTAGAGCCCACACCAGAGTCGCAGTGAACTATGATGGTTTGAGTAGCACCCCTGCCCAGTTGAAATATGACAAGATGTGTCAGTTATTTGCTTCACTTGCGGACATGGCTACAGATGACGAACATCGATTCCACGAGGTATTGGAGTGGATAGAATCCAAAAAACTCTCTTTTAGTAAGACACCGGGTTGTGGAAGTAATGACATATCCCAGCATGTATTCCAAATATCGTCGGATGGTGGAGCGTCGCAACAAAATAGCAATGTAGGTATACAAGATCCGAAATGCTCGAAGAGAAAAGGCGCGCCAAAAAAACTTCGAAACAAAAGTCATTTAGAATTAGCATCCAGTAAAGCGAAGGTATGTGGCCTTTTTTAAAAAAAAATAATAATACGATGGTAGTGTATAGTTAGTTATTATCTGTTGATTATGCAGTCACATTCGACTTCATACAAGGGAAAGAAACTGAAAGCAGGACCAAGTAAAGTAGGACAGGTCGAACCGATCGCACAAGCACATGATCAACTACTACATGAAGATATGCCGGCACACGTCTCATATTCACAGCTTCTAATGGTTCGTCTACTTCGATCTCACAATTTATTTGATTTTTCAAATTTTAGTTATATCATGAAATTTGTGTAGGGTGATGGCGACGGTCATGTATTTACACAACAAGGAATGTCTCCAAATTTCTTCCTATTTCCTTCATTATTCAATGGTCAAGGTATGCGGTTAAACATAATGAATTTAGTTCAAGTCATTCTCTAGTTTGCGTGATAACTTTATTATTTGATAGCAGGAAATGCAACGTCGTGCTATTATCCAAATGCACCTCATCAACGTGGTGGAAACACGTGATATTAGATGAACAACGTGGCGGAAATGTAGTACATTTTTTGGAATTTTTTTGAACTCAGGCTGATGTTGTATATGTGACATCAGTAAATTCCCTTTCATAGGTCAATGTAGTTGATGAAATTATGGTCTCCCTCCTTCATTGTATTTGTGACAGTAGTAACTCCCTTGTCTATATAGTACTGTGGTTTATGAAATTATGGATTCTCTCCTTCATTGTATATGTGACACAGTGACAGTAGTAACTTTCCTTTCTATATTTTACTGTGGTTTATGAAATTATGCATCCTCTCCATTGTAAATGTGACAACAGTAGCTTCCCTTTAATTGGTGTATTCATTTAGCATAGGTACAGGAAAATATTCAAACTGGAAACAATATGAAGCCATGAATCACATTAACATTTATGAGATACAAGCAGAACATTTCTGAAGCCAAGTCCGTGAATGAAAATCACAGATTCTTCCAAACATATATGACACTACCATTGTTCAATTCACTGACTACACAACAATACACACACTACACATCAAAAGTGGTAGGGAACCACACATTCTTCAATTCACTAACTTCACAACAGCACGCATACTACTGATGCAGGATCCTTCCCTCTCTTATCCACTTCCGCGTTAACCTTGTGTATTGTCACATTCAACGAAATCTCAACATTTTTTTCTTCGGCTATCCAACAAAAGGATTCGAACAAGCTAGAAAAATATTGCACTTTTTCGACCAACAACTCCAATTTCACACCAGGGGCATCACCGTTTTCTCGAGTAGTCAGCAAACAAGTCACATTTCTCTCGACAGCTATGACAAATTCCAGAGTTCTTTCCTGGCATACTGCACGTGAAAAAACCACATATTATGCTACATTACACAACATCCACAAAGACTGTGAAATCTTCATAAAAAATTAGGATAGTTAAATCGACGAAAATGGAAACCAAATAAATCATGCTTACATGATGTTTGCTACGAGGTTCCGTCGGAGGCGATTGATGGCATCGGAGAGTACAGGATCTTGCGATGCACGGTGGAGCCTCCATCTTACAGCTAACAAAAAGAAAAAAAAAACCAACCGTGTGATTAACCAAAAGTGGGCAACCCAAAGATGGAGACGGCTGCTACATTAACGATCGGCTTCGTATTTCGATTGAGGTGGAGGATTGCAGGAAATCGAAGAAAGTTCTCCCATTTTCGCCACCAAGGGTTTCTGTTCTGATTTAGGGGAGAAGACGTGAAGTGGGTGTTTTAATATTGGGCTGGG